TTAACTTTTATTTTTCAATTAACAGCTTTAGATTATATGGTTTATTTGGACTTCCATTTGTTGTTGCACTGGCACCAGTTCCTTCTTACCTCTCCGTTCAGGGTCTATATAAGACAATGCATTCAATCATCAAATGTTTATGCTCATACTACCCACATTAAGTAAAGTACAGTTACAATACAGTAAACAGTCCCAGTTTTATTTTACAGGGACTTTGGCCTTTCCGTTTCATAAAATTCTGTGTCTTGGTGTTGTCTTGTCAGTTGCTGAGGAAGCGACACATCGGAAACGACATTGTGACGATCGTTTTCCAGGAGCCAGGTGCTCTGCCCTTCACTCCAAAGTCCATCCGCTCCCATTTCCAACATGTCTTCATCATTGTTCAGGTTCATGAGCCCTGCACGGAGAACACCTACTACAGGTATGATATGATCTGTGACACTGGGCAAAATGCCATTATTGATACACAGGCATATATTATACATTTAAGCTCCCATTTTATTGATTTCTTTTGCGGTAATGACTTCATGGCAAGTCTAAGTGTCTTCATAGGAAGTGGTGAAGTAAAAAAAGTTATGGTAAGATCTGAACTCCAAGGAAAGATTTAAAAAAATATTTTACAGAAGATTTACTTTCCATATCATCAACATCTATCTTTATAGACGTAGCAGCGCACGTCAGGGGGAAAAACAACTGCAGCAGATTCATTGTAAATGTTTGGAATTTAGGAGACAGTTTCTGGCACAAAGAAGACGTAGATTGACTGTTTCCAAAGAACCTCTCTCTTACTCTGTCATTCCTCTTTTTCTCTCTCCTTCCCAGGGTGGCTGTGACACGCTCTAAAGACATCCCATTATTTGGCCCGTTGTTCCCCAAGGGCGCCCGATTCCCTCGCTCACCTGCCTTCAGAGACTTCCTCCTGGCAAAGGCAGTGAACGCTGAAAACGGCGCAGAGAAATCCGAGAAGTTCCGCTCCATGGCCACTCGCACGCGGCAGGAATACCTGAAGGACCTGGCGGAAAACTATGTGACTACGACACCCATCGACTCCTCCACCAAGTTCCCTCTGCTCTCCCTGGGCGGCAAGCGCAAGGACAAGCTGAAGGGCGCCAAAGGTGCAGAGTTGCACAGTGCCGGGGCGCTGGTGTGGGCTGTGATGGTCTACAGCAGAGATGAGACGGGAGAGCTCAGCCTCCCCTGTCTGCTGGGGGTGTCGGCCGAGTCAGTGGTGCTCATCGAGAGGTGCACACGCAAGGTGGTGTTTAACTGCTCCTGCAGAGATGTCATTGGTTGGAAAGCCGTGACAGAGACTAAGGAAGGGGGGCCTTGCTTGGATATATTCTATGAGCGTGGGGAGTCAGTGTCCATCAGTGTGATGGAAAGCCAGGTGGAGGACATACGTGAGGTGGTGCAGAGGCTAGAGGTGGGTGATTGTGGCCTGATGAGAAATTATACAGTGAGTGGTTTATGTGTTTCTGAATCATCCATACTTCTCTGCACATCTGCAGCTGGTTACGAGGGGCTGTGAGGCGTTGGAGGTCACCCCTCTGCGTGACGGGGTCGGTCAGCCCGGATTCCTGATGAACGAGGAGGGCTTTGTAACGGAGCTGCAGCGGTTCTGCTACGCTGAGAGCGGAGGTCTGCAGCTGTGGGCTCGTGTGGTGCGGCTATGCGGACACTCGCTGGTTCACCTGAGCCCTGAGGAGAGGACGAGGCTGCTGCGCACGGCGCATAAAATTCACATCACTGTCATACCGCCGGACGAGAACGGCAAGCCTCGCAGGTGGGTGAGGCTGCAGATAGGAGGAAAGGGGGGAGGGAGAGACTGAACGCTTGGGTGAGAGGGGGGCTCATGGGAATAAAGCTGCGGAAAGTGAAGAGTGGTTCCAGTGAGAGGTGACGCAGAGGTTGACAACAATTAAATGGGACAAATCAGTTGAGAAAAACAACAGAGGTGCCACTGTGAGGTCACAGTTCATTCTGTTGTTGATGGCAGCCAACAGTCAGTGTCACATCAGCTGCCTAACAACCAATCAATCCCCTAATGGCATTTAATCACACTGGCACAGGCTTCCTAACCAATATTGAAATAAACTGAGTTAAAAGAAGAAACATTTAAAAGCTGGCAGCAGAAGTATCCAAAGAACTCCTCGGTTTATTTATATTTCAGTCCTGAAATGCTTATTCTGTCACAACAAAGACACTATTATTCATGATAAGTGAATTCAAAGCAGTATAATAGAAGCTTTGACATTTTATCTTTCTTTTTGCCGAATAATGTATGACCATGAAATGAGGAGCTGGATGGAAAAAAAAGGTGTGACTGAGTATGTTGTTGTTTTATGTTGTGCAGAAGTTTCTCTGAGTTGTACCAGAAAGCCATCAAGGATGCGGAGTGCAAGCCTGGCGAGGATCAGTCGGGAGAGGCTTGGGTGCTGGACGAGAGGGAAGAAGAGGAGGAGGACGAGGAGGAGGCAATGGAGGACAACCTGAAGGCAGGTGGGGTCAACGAGGCAGACGCAATGGAGGTGCAGGTGGAGGCAGAAGAGGCCGAAGAGGCTGAAGAGCAGCCGTGTGATGAAGGGCAGAGCGAGAGAAGTCTAGACTTGTTCCTCACGCCGCCCAGCTTGCCCTTGTTACGGGCCACCTCACTGCAGGACCAACCGGCCAATCAGAGCCAGGGGGGCAGCGCCTCGCAGCTCACCCGCAGCTTCTCTTTGGAGAGGCAGCCATCCTTCAGGGACACCTGTGATGGGTGAGTGTTAAAGCGGATGCTGCTGTTCAATCAGCCGTAACCTGTCATGTGAGAGTTACAGAGGTGTTATAGAGAACAAGAGTGTTTCACATTATGAAAACAACAGGAAATCTTGCGACAACCCATCTAGACACAACTGCTGATGAGTCGAACATGAGCTCATCCAACATGGCAGAAAATATCCTCAAACTGAAGCTGATTCATCACAATTCCCTCAAATCTCAGAGTCACTGCGTTATTTCTGAGTCACAGAGAAAGGAGTGTGACTGTTTCCTCAATGCAGTGGTATTTAAATTATGAGTCATTATAATCATGAAACTTTCATTTTGGTAAAGATTTTACTTTTTAAATTTAAAACCAGAGATATAAGTA